ATAAGACGCAGGAATTTATAAGCGCCAGTACTTACGCGATGGAAAAAATCGACCTCGCGGAACGTTCAGCCTTGCTCGAGGAAATATTAAATACAAAATTGAAAGGAAAACTCTTACTGGATTTTCAAACCAGAAGCATACAAGATTTCGAACAATTACGGCGAGAAATAGAGATAAACTATTTGGGAAGACGCGGAACATCGCATCTTCAATTAGAGTTTAACGCCTTAAAACAAAAAACGAGTGAAAGCGCGCACACATACGGACGACGCGTAGATCAATTAGGGATGGAATTATATGAATCGTTAATAGAAAAAAGAAATCCTACAAACGAACAGAAACGAGCGATCCTAGAGACAATTCAGGATCAAGCACTATTAAACTTCGAATTAGGATTGCGCGAGGACATCAAAATGATAGTCCGATCGCAAAAATATGCTACTCTGCAAGAGGCTATTAACGCCGCGAGCGCGGAAGAAAAAATTAAAGGCCCTTCCTTAAAAACGCCATTTAGTAATCAAAATAGAAGTGGACCGCTTCAAAATAAAATTATACAGTGCCACAAATGCGGAAAAGCAGGGCACTACGGTCAAAATTGTCGGACGAGCCGTTATGCAAATAAATTTACTTTGCCTCGTGCTGAAAAGCCAGCAGGAATAAATACCGTCGAGAAATTTTGCACCTATTGTAAAAAGGCGGGACATAATCGAAACGAATGTTGGATACTTAACGGACGACCCGATAGAGATACGCGACAACGCGCGAGACGCGAAGCGGATAATAAAACAAAGCGAGTAAACACCGCAGTAAAAGCGAGAGAACCGAGAAGGAGCAAGCGAAATAGCGATAGCGAGGAAGCATCATATGCTAGCAGCGAAGAAGAAGAGAGAACGAAGACGCGGAAAAGGCGAGCGGCAATTGAGCATCAGATTACGCAAGTAACTGGAAATCGTGCGAATATCGGTCTCAGATTAGTAACTTTGCCGATAAAAGAAATGAAAAAGGGACGCATAAATCTCTTATTAGATACCGGAGCCACCCTAACACTAATCAAAGTAGGGAATTTAAAAGGCGAAACGCTCATAACTGAAAAGCCAATGGCTCTCACCGGAGTGACGGGCCATCAAATTAAAACTATTGGTAAAATAAAGGCGACTGTAATAATAGGAAATAAAGAAATACGCCACACCATGCACGTAGTGAAGGATGATTTTCCTATCGATTACGCAGGAATACTTGGTATGGATTTCCTGCAGAAACATAAAATTAAGAGCGATCAAAAAAGCTATCTTCAAGTCGATGGAGTAACACTGAAACTCCATCCCTATAAAAAACTAACGCTAACTCCTCGTAGCGAGACCATAATCCAAGCGGTAACAGATAAAAATCGCATTGGAATAGTAAAATCAGAAGAAATGCGACCAGGAGTATTTATTGGCAATTGCCTGGTAGCACCTGAAGAATATGCTTGCCCAATAAGTATGCTAAATACAACGGGAGAGACAGTAGAAATAATAACACCGCTCGTGACAATAGATGAATTGCGGGCAAATGACCGCGAGAACATACTCACACTACATACAGCATGTAACAAGAGCGACTCACCAATACTAACACGCCGCGAGCGTATACGAGCGCAGATAGGAACCGAGCATTTAAATCAAGAAGAAAAGAAGACCATTGAACGATTATGCGAAGACTTCTGCGATATCTTTCATTTAGATGGAGATATGCTGACACACACGTCCACTGTGGAGCATGAAATAAATATCCGCACAAATAGCGCACCTGTAAATGTGCGACCTTATAGATTACCAGAAAAACATAAGGAAGAGGTAAATCGACAAATAGAAAAAATGCTAAAAGAAGATATTATCCGACCTAGCGCGAGTCAGTGGAACGCGCCACTACTGGTCGTTCCAAAGAAAGGCGACACGACAGAGAAGCCGAAATTGAGAATCGTGATAGATTTTCGAAAACTTAACGAGCTAACGATAGGCGACTCTTTCCCTCTGCCGAATATAAATGATATTCTAGATCAATTAGGAAACGCGAAATATTTTTCTACATTAGATCTTGCCTCGGGATATCATCAAATTCCCATGAGCAAGGAACACAAAAATAAAACAGCGTTTTCCACTTCGCATGGGCACTACGAGTTTAATAGAATGCCCTTCGGGTTAAGGAATGCACCCGCAACTTTTCAAAGATTAATGAACGCAATATTAGCCGGAATCCAAGGCTTAAGATGCCTCGTATATTTGGACGACATCGTCGTCTACGGATCAAATTTGGAAGAACATAACAAACGCCTGATTGAAGTAATGCAGCGTTTACGAAAACATAATCTAAAATTACAGCCCGACAAGTGCAATTTCCTTAGAAAGGAAGTAATTTATCTAGGTCATATAATTACTGAAAATGGAATACGACCAGATCCAAGCAAATTAAGTGCTGTAAACAATTTTCCTATACCAAGAAAAATCAAGGATGTGCAATCATTTATCGGATTGGCCGGATATTACCGGAAATTCATTGAAGAATTTTCGAAAATTGCTAAACCTCTTACGAGTTTAACTAAAAAGGGGGTAAAATTTGAATGGAGCATGGAACAGCAAAACGCGTTCGAATTATTAAAGGCAAAACTCACGTCGGCACCCGTACTAAGTTACCCGGATTTCTCTCGTGAATTCTTAGTAACGACCGACGCATCCGATCATGCAATTGGAGCCGTATTATCACAAGGTCCCGTAGGCAGAGACCGACCGATTGCTTATGCTAGTAGAATTTTAAATAAAGCCGAACAAAACTATAGCACGACAGAAAAGGAACTATTAGCTATAGTATGGGCCGTAAAACATTTTCGACCCTATTTATATGGTACAACGTTTACCATCGTGACAGACCACAGACCATTAATCTGGCTATTCAATGTCACGGATCCAGGTTCTAGATTAATTAGATGGCGACTAAAATTAGCGGAGTATGATTATAAAATCGTACACAAAAAAGGCAAATGCAATACAAATGCCGATGCATTAAGCAGAAATCCAGTTACGGGAGACCCACACGTCAATCTCATCCATCCAGAGGAAGAAGGACGGCAAGAAGAAGAAGAAGAAGAGGAAGAAACAATTAAAGAATATACGGCTGAGGAGAAACGCCGCATACTATACGAGTATCATGACGCTCCGTTAGGGGGGCATCAGGGGGTCGCGCGGACACTGAACCGTATCCGATTACTACATAACTGGAGAGGCATTACTCGAGACGTCGAAGAATACATAAGCAAATGTGAATATTGCCAAAAGAACAAATTAAGTAAAAAGACGAAGATGCCATTAGTAATTACAGACACGCCTACGAAACCGTTTGAAAAATGTGCATTAGATATCGTAGGGCCATTAACTGTCACAACCAATGGGAATAAATATATCCTGACCTTCCAGGACAATTTAACTAAATTCAGTAAAGCTATTCCTATAGATAATCAAGAAGCGGCTACCGTCGCGAAAGCATTCGTGACCAAAATAATAGTAGAACACGGTACGCCGGATAAAATCCTTACCGATCAAGGTACTAACTTTACTAGCGAGATGTTTAAAAATACTTGCAAACTATTGAAAATAGAAAAGATACAAACGACAGCCTATCATCCGGAGAGTAACGGAGCCTTAGAGCGCTCACACAGAACGTTAGCCGAATATCTCCGGCATTATGTTAATGAGGAACAGAGCGACTGGGACGAGTGGTTACCCTACGCAATGTTCGCCTATAATACTACTCCTCATACGGCAACGGGTTTCACGCCGTTTGAATTAATGTACGGCTATCAAGCAACTCTACCATCGGCGTTATCGAAGACGCCAAAACTAACGTATTCGTACGACAATTACGTACAAGAACTTCGCGAAAGAATACGCGCCACAAATCAAATAGCCCGAGAACACGCGCAACAAGAAAAAATTAAAGCCAAAAAACAGTACGATAAAACGACAAAGAAGGAAACATTTAAGGTCGGCGACAACGTTTTACTATTCGATGAAACCGTTCGAAGGGGCAGATCTAAAAAACTAGAATCAAAATGGATCGGTCCCTACCTGATTCTCGATAAACATAACGACGTAAATTTTTCGATCAGGATGGGACGGAAAACAATGCGCGTACACGCTAATCGTCTAAAACTTTTTATTGAACATTAAAGCAGAAGCAAATAAGCGAATATGTTAGTAGAAGCAAATAGTATAATAAATATATTAATATTATATAGAAACAAAAGAAATACTTACATATTTTAATAAGGTGGAGGTAATTCCTCCACAATCCTCCTCCCCGTCACGGTGCACACATGCACCCTGTAACGGGGCATAGCGCGCCACTCCCTCACTGGAAGAGGACGTATGCGTGATCGCTCGTACTCTTGCAAATTTCTTGCGGCCTGCAGCCAATAGCTGCGTAGGCAGCTGTCGCACGTAGAGGGTGCAAAATAAAGATTGCAGCGTAAACACCTCATAATAAAGATTTTTTTTTTACACTTTCAATGGTTCACTCTCAACGACTAAAGGTGTACTGAATAAAAGAATTAAAGAAGCAGCATAAGATAAACCGCGAAGCAAGGATTCACCGAAAGTAATATGAATCCTTATCTTACAGGATCCTCCTTGTGTGGAGTTACACGGATGGAACCACACACACATATAACTGGGAATCATACAGTAATACGCCCGGTATATATTTCGAAGAAATAGGAGTGATGAATCAAGCGGAATCCGAATGGAAACTTGTCATTAAATTAGACATTACCGCTTTTAAGGTTCGATACGAACAATTCCAAAATTACTTAAAAGGTACAGAAAAACGATGCGAAAAGGCCATCGCAGGAAACGCACAACAAATATGTGCAAATATGATGCAGATTATGGAAAAAGGGAACACCCAACTTACTGCCGCATTAAACTATTTAAATGTATTATATAACGCTAATACGAAGAAAAGAGGCTTATTAAATGCCATCGGCACAATCAGCAAAACGCTATTCGGAACCATGGATGCTGACGATGCACAACGAATAGACGAGCAACTACAGCTACTGAAAAATAATCAGCAGGTACTACAGCATGCGGCGAAGCATCAATTAAAAATATTAAATGCCACGATTGGACATATCCAAAATCTGGAACAGGCAACGGCTTACAACGAAAATTTATTATTAAACGTCACTAGAAGAATGGAGCTACAGTTAGACCAATATACACAGCGAGAAGATCTAGACGAACATTTACAAATACTTACTGCCATACTGACAGACTTAACTGCAGACATAGATAAGACGCTAGACTTCTTAGCTAATTCAAAAGACGAAATAGTTCCTACCCGTCTATTACCATTAGAAAATATAATAATGAAATTGAGGGAAGCCGCGACACAATTAACAAAAGGGTTGCACTTTCCCTTCCAAATAAAATTAGAAAATTGGGATACGATTCACAAATATGTAGCGATAAACGCGATAGTAATAAACAATGTCATATTTACTACCTATTTACTACTTTAAAGTTCCCAATAATAGCGTATCCTACGTATAAGATAATAAAAGTAATTCCATTTCCTATCCATGAACAGGAAAATATATTCAAGTTTATTAAAATAATCCATCCGATTATAGCGTTAGATAAAGAAAATAATCATTATACTCTATTACGCGAAAACGAATTAAATAAATGTATACGCGATATTACTACTTATACGTGCGAAAGAAACTTTCCAATATATAATATAAAATCAAACGCGCCATGCGAGGTGCTAGTTTAAATTAACACGCCAGGACAACTCCAAAATTGCGAGTATGGACGAGTCCTCTCGAGTACGACGTTATGGATAGCGCCGTTAGAAGAAAATACATGGTTGTATTCAACCAAAGAAGGTCAAGAA